GGGAGGGAAGGAATGAGGGAGGAAGGGAGAGGCGGGAAGAGAGAAGAGAGGGAAGGAAGAAAAGGGAGGGAGAGGGAAAGGAAGGAAGGAAAGATGGATGGAAGAGAGTGAGGGAATGAGGGAGAAGAAGGAAGAGAGGAGAGAGAAGGAGAGGCAGCGAGGAAGGAAGGAAGGAAGGAAGGAGACGTGAGGGAGGGAAGGAAGAAAAGAAAAGAGAGGAAGGAAGGAGGAGGGTTTTTGGAGAGATTGTATTTATTTTATTCCTCCTCCTCGTAGGGTTCTTCTAATCATTACCAAACACCGGCATTGGAGTTGTCCAGCCCCACGTCGGAGAACGGGGGACGCAAACCGGCCCCACCCTCCCGCCCCGCCCCTTGCCTCGCCCCCCGCAACCTGCCCTGCGCGCGCATGCAGCCCCCGCCTCCCAACCTCCCCGTGCCCCCGTCCGCCCCTGCCCCGCCCCCTCCCTCCTCTCCCCAGTGCCCCCCAGCCCCTCCCCCTCCTCCTCCTCCCCCTCCCCCTCCGTTGCCCTGGCTGAACAAAGCGGGGGAGGGCAAGGTGGAGGACGAAGACCCCCTGGGGGACATTCTCTTCGGGTGCAGCGGGGAGCCCTGCAGGGCTGACCCCCCATCCTTGGCCAATTGCGACTCGGGGTGCGGCTTCCAGGATTCGGACCCCAGTAGTCCACCAGGGAGCTTTTCTCGCCCTCGGGAAGGGTCCGGGGACACTCCCAGGCCGGCCAGTCCCGAGCCTTCGCCAGCCCCCCAATTCTGGCTTTCCGAGAGCAGCCGGGAAGAGAACGGCTCCGGGGGGGCCAGGCCCCTGAATCCGAGCCCCTCGATTACCTCAGGAACATTCAGGTCCCCAGAAAGCCCCCCACCGCTGCCGGTGCCACCGCCGGCCGCCCTGCCGCCTCCACCGTCCCGGGCCTCGTATCCAAAGACGCCGGACCCACCGGGGGTGGCCCCCGCTGCAGAGGCCTCCTCAGACCGCCTCTTCGGCTTCGCTAGCCCCCCGTTAGAAGACCAGTTCGAAGAACCCCCCGAGTTCTCCAAGATTTTGCCGGACGGGCTGGCCAACATCATGAAAATGCTGGATGAATCCATTCGGCGCGGGGAAGAAGAACGAGAGGAGAGCTTCCCTCCGCCACCTCCCCCCGCCCCCCCCCTCCCTAGCCCCCCACCCCTGGCGAGGCCCAAGCTGCCCTCGGCCTCCGCCAGCTCCTTCGATTACCCCAAACCTCCCGGGCAGGACCCCCCCGAGCCCCCTTGCCTCTATCGCTTCGGCAAGCGGGACACAGAAGAGCAGCGACCCCTGGCCATGACGGCCGCGGGGTCCAGCGGGACGAAGTTTGCGCCTCATGGCACTCCGTCTCTCCTCAAGTCTTTGGCCAGTGTGCTGGAGGGGCAGAAACACTCCTATCGGCTCAAGCCGATGACCCCCCCAGGTGCTAAGATCTCCCCCCCAGCCGGTGCGAGCCAGAGCCCCTTACCCCAATTCACTACCTCAGGCCAAGCGTGGGCTGGAGGCACCGGTGGTGCCACGGAGGAGCGAGCCCCCACGCCCCCACCTCTGCCCGCCCCTCGGCCCTTGAAGACTGAGTCGGAGGTGTTGGAGGAGATCAGCCGCGCCTGCGAGACCCTGGTGGGACGAGCAGGGCGGGAGAAGAGCCCCCCGCCCCCTGCCAGCCCCCCGCCCACCCCGGCCTCCCCTCCGCCTGCTCCTCTCCTGGCCCCTGTGCCTCCAGCGCCCCTACCACCGACCCCTCCGCGCCCCAAGGATGAGTCCCGCAAGACACACATGGAACATCGCCGGCACCGTCGGTCCAACCGGGACGGCTCACGGAGACACCGGGACGGTAAAGCTCGCAAGGGGAAGAACCGGCAGATCCTGGGAAGTTTGGACGTGCAGAGCGCCGAGGGCCAAGCCCGGGAGAACGGCGCCAAGCCGCCCCCGCCTCCCCCGCCGCCTCCCCCCGAGCGGAGGTCCCCTGTCAAGAAGGAAGAAGGCCCAGTGGGCTCAGTGTCCACCATGGTGTGCTCGGCCGACCTGCTGAAGCTACGGTCCTTCACGGAGGGTCCCCCCAAGGAGCTGAAGATCCGGCTGATCAAAGTGGAGAGCGGAGACAAAGAGACCTTTATTGCGTCTGAAGTCGAGGAGCGACGGATCCCCCTGAGCGAAGTCACCATCAACCACTCAGCCGCAGAGGTTGTGCGGGCCAGCAAGTGAGTCCTCCCCATCGCACCCCCCCACAGTTGCCTTCAAAGAGTTTTTCTGTTCCCTCAGTTAAAATACCGATTCACAGGGGTGTCAAACTCAGGGCCTGCGGGCTGGATCCGGCCCACCGGGTGTGTAGATCCGGCCCACAGAGCCACCCTGGGAATAGTGAAGAACCGGCCCACAGGGCTTCTGCCCTCCTGAGCTCCCATTTTCGGCTGTGGCTGCCTCCTGCAACCCTCTGCCAGCGGAAATGGACCTCGCGTGACCTTCCCGGGGTCTCTTTCCGCTGGCAGAATGCGAGCACAGAGTGACGTGGAGCTGGCCACGCCCACTCTGGCCACACCCACCTCCCCCCCCCAAGTTCAAACACAACTCTGATGTGGCCCTCAGTGAAATCGGGTTTGACACCCCCGACTTACAACCACAAATTAGGGCCAGAACTTCTGTTGTTGAGCAAGGCCGTTCTTAAGTGGGTCCTACCCAATTTTTATGACCTTTTTTGCCATGGTCGTGAAGCGATTCATTCATTCGTTGTTGGAATGAGGCGACGGCTCAGCGGTTAAGATGCCGGGCTTGTCAGCTGGAAAGCCAGCACTCAGGTTCGAGACCCGAGCGCCACACGACGGGGTGAGCTCCTGTCCCTTGTTCCAGCTCCTGCCCACCTAGCCGTTCGAAAGCAGGCAAATGCAAGCAGATCAACAGGTACCACTTCAGCGGGAAGGTAGCGCTGCACGATGTCATGCCGGCCACATGACCCGCGGAACCATCCTGGGACAGCGCCAGCTCAGTGGCCTTGAAACGGAGGTGAGCCGAGCCCCGCCCCCCCCTACAGTCAGCAACGACTAGTGGACCTACCTACCCACCGTGGCGCTTCGCTTAACAACCATGGCAAGGAAGGTCGTAAAAATGGGGTGAAACTCAACTGAAGAAGCGTCCCGCTTAGCAGCAGAACTGTTGGGCTCCAGGGCGGTCGTCAGCCGAGAATGTACGTTTTACGCGGTTTTCCCCCCCGGGGCTCACGTCGCCTCGTCTTCTTCCCCCAGGCACGCCAAGGTGAAAGGGAAATTTAAGGAATCGTATTTATCCCCAAACCACTCCGTCAAGCCGCAGATCAACATGGACGAAAAGCTTCCCCGGGATAAGCTCAGCCCCCCAACACCAAGTATCTACGTGAGTATCCGTTTTGCCGGGTTGCTGGAGGGTGGGGTCGGGGGGGGGGTCGCCGGGGAAGTAGGTTCTGAGGAGGGGGATGCCCATGAAATATCTTTGGGGACGTAAAACTCAGGGATCCTGAGGGGCTTTGCCATCTACGCTCGCTCTAGTACGCAAAAGCGGTCCCGCTAGCAGTGCTTTCGGTCACTAGCAGTGCTTTCGGTCAAAGCAACCCCCAAGTTTCTAGCCCTCATGGATGAAGAGGTCGATCCTTTTTTTTTTTTTTTTTGTAAAGGGAGGGAGCCAGGGGGTTTTCTTCTGAACACAAAAAGGGGCGGAGAGGAAGAACTAGGGAGGGAGGGAGCGAAAACTGGACTTAAGACGACAACGGTGAACGTCGTTCACTACTCCGCGGGCTGGGGTTCTGGGTGGGGATTTGGATCCTTTATTTTGGGGAGGGGGAAACAGAATTGCTCACACCCCCCAAATGAAAGAATTGTGGGTTCTGGAGTCTAGTAGGATGCCCAGCAATTTGGCCCCGGGGTTCTCCAACCCAATCCATGGAATGAGGCAGGATCGGTATTCCTCAATTTTTAGCCACTTTAAGAGGGGTGGACTTCAACTCCCAGAATTCCTCAGCCTAGCTGGCTGGGGAATTCTGGGAGTTGAAGTCCACCCTGTTGTGGTTCACCGACAGCCTGTGCAGACGGCAGCAGAATCAGGCAGTGGGGAGGAACATGGGCCAGGCCGAGAGTCTGGGGAGGACTCGGGTGAGGGTCCTGCGACTGACATCGTGATTGGGCCATCTGGGAGTTGTGTGCTGACTCTGGAGCCTCCAGAGTCTGGCAGCAGCGAGGCAGACGAACAAGGGGAGCCTGTTCCCAGTGTGCGCACGCACAGAGCTGCCAGAAGGCAAGAGCAGCTAAGACAAAGGGGCGACTTGGGAGTAATGCTGGGAGGTGATTGGCCCTCCCCTAAGGTATACAGGAAGTGCAAAGGTAGGAAAACCTTTGCAGGAAGCAACGTCGTTCACTCTGTTCAGATTAAACCTTGAAGCTCTGTGTGGACTTTGTACTTCAGTTGGTTTTTTTTAACCGTTAATTTGGCACTTTAGTTGTTGTCAGCAATTCAAAGGAGAGAAAGGTGGGTGCTTATCTCGAGGGACTGTTTGAGACTCATTACTGGCTGGGAATGAACATAATTCCCAGCTGTTGAAGTAAAAAGAGGGTCGTTTGGACTAAGTGTATACTTAATTACGGTCTCAGGAAGCCTTGGTCAAAACAAACATTGACGCTAACTAGGAAAGCTTCAATACAAGTCATCAGATCTCCGGAAGAAAAACCAACTTGGCTGCTGTCCGTCTGCTGCTCTTGAGTGGATCACCTCGCAGGATCACTCTCTTCACGCCTAGGTTTCTTTCTCAGCTCTGTCCTATCTCATCCTGGTTTCGTTTTCTTTCTTTTTTTTAATGACTTGCTTGTTTCTGATTCTCGGCCCAGTTGGGACTTCCAACTCCCAGAATGCCTGTGATTTAAGACGCATGGACTAAAAACCCCAGAATTCCATCCTTAGAAGCAGGGAATACAACTCCCAGAATTCTGTGATTTAAATATTTAGACTTCCAACTCCCAGAAGTCTGTGCTTACGATTGCATGGACTAAAACTCCCAACTTCAACTCCCACAATTCTGTGCTTAAGGTGTGTGGACTTCAGTTCCCAGAATTCCGTGCTTAAGACGCTTAGACTTCCGTTCCTAATATTCCCATGCTTAAGCTCCCAGAATTCTGTGTTGTGTGCTCACTTTCAATTCCCAGAATTCCCTGCTGGGTTGAGAATTCTGGGAGTTGAAGTCCCATCATCACCCATCTGCGCCCATGTCTCTTATCTCTTCCTGGTCTCTCTTCCTCCTCCTTCCTTTAAAGCATCGTTTCTGCTTGCGTAGAATTTAGGGTGTCGTTATTCCTGGTCGTTTCCAAAAATCCTTACGTTCCCCCATTCTTTCTTTTTTTAAATAAATAAAAATCCTATTTTTGTGGCTTTTTGTCTCGCCTCCTTGTTTCTAGGGGTGCAGTAGCCCAGATCCCTCTTCCCGGAGCCCTGAGACCCACCTGGTCCATTTGTCTTCCCTCCCTTCTGCGCAGCTTCCTCTGCGTTCGGTTTGTCCCTCCGTTGCTATTCAGGCCAGACCTCCCATCTCCCGAAAAGCAAAACAAAAGAGATATTACTGGCTCTCCCGGTTGCTGGTTCAAGGGACCCCATCCGATGACTCTGTCTTGCTGAGGGGGAAAAAAGAAAGAAAGAAAGAAAGAAAGAGAGAGAGAGAGAGAGAAAGAAAAGAAAGAGAAAGAAAAGGAAGAAAAGGAAGAAAGAAAGAGAGAGAGAAAGAAAAGAAAAAGAAAGAAAGAAAAGAAAGAGAGAAAGAAAAGAAAGAAAAGAGAGAGAGAAAGAAAAGGAAGAAAGAAAAAGAGAAAGAAAAGAAAAAGAAAGAAAGAAAAGAGAGAGAGAGAAAGAAAAGAAAAAGAAAAGAAAGAAAAAAGAAAGAAAAGAAAGAGAGAGAGAGAAAAGCAAAAGAAAGAAAGAGAAAGAAAAAGGGAGAGAGAGAGAAAGAAAGAAAAGAAAGGAAAAAGAAAGAAAGAAAAGAAAAGAGTGGGGCACTTTTGACAGCTTCCTTCCTTTCCAGGCATGGTCCGGCTTTTATTTATTTATTTGATTTGTCAATTGCTTACAAGATAATAGGTATAAGTAAAAACATAGTTATGACATGGATTCATACAAGAAAAATATAAAAGAAACCATAGGACAGGGACGGTGGGCACGTTGGTGCGCTTATGCACGCCCCCCCACAGACCTCTTAGGAAAGGGGTGAGGTCCATAGTAGACAGTCTAAGGTTAAAGGTTTTTGGGGTTTGGGGAAGGAACCACCGAGTCAGGTAGAGGATTCCAGACATTGACCCCTCTGTTGTTGCTGAAGTCGTATTTCCTGCCATCGAGTTTGGTGCGGTTTATTTTGAGTTTGTATCTATTGTTTGCTCTTGTTGTTGTTATGGTTGAGGCTGAAGTATTCATTGACAGGACATTGCAATGTATGATTTTGTGAGAATTAGTCACACACACACACACACACACAGAGTCTTCCTTGTGTGGCGTTGTGAACTCTTCATTGCCTAGTCTTGGCCTAGAGGGAGAGCAGAGAGCCTTGGCTTTGGAGGAATGTGGGGAGGGGCAGGCCGAGTCAACCCAGGGGCCTTCGGGATCGGGACGGCTTGTAGGCTGGGAAGAACTAGGGCAGGACAACCGAGAGAGGACAAGCGGTGAACACGCGGAGCGACCGAGCTCAGGTGATGAGCAAGGACCACGCCCTCCCGATCCCCGAGCACGGAGAGCGGAAAGGAGACGGAGAAACAGCACAGGTCGGCCCGACTACTCCGGAAGAGAGTGCTCCGCCCCTCTTCCCAAGGGCACACCTGCGGGGGGCTGAGATTTAAGGAGACCCTGTGGGGAGGGGCATTTGTCGGGAACAAACACTGAATTGGTGGGGTTTGGTGTGCCGGTACAGACCTCTCGGAGTTTGCATGATAGTTTGTTTCTTCCTTACTTGTTTGTTTCGGGGACTCATTTCTCTGTTCCTTTGTTTTTCCGGCCTAGTCGCAGCCCGAGGCTGCCATGCGTGCGTGTGCTTTCTGGGACACTGCCAAGAATGTGGGAGCACTTTGAGGGGAAATTTGGAGCATTAAAGGGGAGTTTGGACTCTCACCTGGCTGTGTGGCCTTCATAATGTCGACTCATAAAAATACTTCTTTGGCCTTTTCAGAGTTGCCAACAGAAAGGGAAAAAAAAAAAAACCTTTGCAAAACCGAAAGTGCATTCCATAAATGTTTTCAAAGATAGTAACTAGGAGACCGAAGTTTCCTCCACGCAGAATTCTAACTGGAGAACATGATTGACGACTCTGGGCTATGGAGATGTCCCGTTGGAGAATATGGATTATGTTACACCCAGAAGGGCGCGGGGAACCAGGGCTAAGGGTGACAACGAATTATGGGTCTATGATTTGAATGGGGGGTGTATTGTCGGAGCGCTGACAGTTGTTGGGTACTTGGTGCTTGGACGGGGGGTGGAGGAGCCGGACTGGCCTGCCGTTCTCTGACAGTCTCGTCCTTTTCCTTTAGTTGGAGAGCAAACGGGACGCATTTTCTCCCGTCTTGCTACAATTCTGCACCGATCCCAAGAACCCCATCACCGTCATCCGCGGTCTGGCTGGATCTCTTCGGCTCAGTGAGTATGAGGATTATGGGTTCGTAGGCACAATCAGCCCGATGTTCAGGCTGGATTGGGTGTTTTTGTCCTGTCGTGGCCTGTCGGACACCATAGGCTTTGATGAAAAATTCTCTCACCATAGGCTAACCAGTCTGTCTAGCGGGGAGACGAAAAATTGTCTGCCACCCCTCTTCATCTCTGCCCTCTGCCTTTTATCTCCAGAGCTAGGGTGGGGCTTCACTAGCAGCAGTGGCTCTTCCGCCCCAAGGACCGGCTTATAGATTTCCACTGCTCTCCTCTCCTCTGCCTTCTGTGCTTCAGGCACTGGACCCAGCTGTTCTTCCTCTTCCTCCTCCTCAGCCCCCTCCAGACCTTCAGGCTGTTGACTCTCCACCTGACGGACGGCCCAAGGCTCTGCCTCTGTCTCTCTCTCTCTTTGCTAGCGCTATTCCCTCTTCCGCCTTTGATTCCCACACTGCCGCCTCATTTGATTCGGGTGCTGGCAATCCCTGGAGTGCCCAATAAGTAGAAAATATATTTTCCTCCGGATTTGGAGAATGGCTGAGGATCTTTGCAGTTCCTTAGGAAGTTTGATCGGCGGGGAGAGGATGGCGGGCATTCGTCTTTCCAAACGAGGGGGGGATGGAACCAGGAGAGTTGAGCAAACAACAAATCTTTCCCACAATTTGGGGTGCGTGTATAAACGAGGCGTTACTTGATTGTCTCCGCTCGCCCGCAGACCTGGGGCTGTTCAGCACGAAGACGCTGGTGGAGGCGAGCGGCGAGCACGCCGTGGAAGTCCGCACGCAGGTGCAGCAGCCGTCCGACGAGAACTGGGACCTCTTGGGCACTAAGCAAGTCTGGCCGTGCGAGAGCAGCCGGTCACACACCACCATCGCCAAGTATGCCCAGTACCAAGCGGCTTCGTTCCAGGAGTCACTTCAGGTGAGATGACCGAGCTTGGTCCATCTGTTTGTCCTGTCCCTCGGGTGGATTCTGGGCCCCGTAAGGGTTTCAACGCTGAAGGCCCTCGCGTAACTCTTGATGGCAAGGCCTCCATTGTGACCTTCTCTCTCTGTTGAGGCAGGAGGACAAAGAGACGGACGATGAGGAGGCCGAGGAGCCGGATAGCACCACAGAGACGCCGCCCAGGTAGAGTATTCCTGCCTCTTCCTGCTCGTTGGGTGACCTCTGCTTCGATCGATAAAGGGGAATAATTTTAGCTCTCAGAGCTGAAATGAGTGCTAGAAGGGGGGAGGAGGAAGAGGAGTTTGGGGTCCCCAGTGCTTCCTGAACTTGGTTGTTTTCTTACAGACGTTTCATGACCCAACTAGGGAATGTCATCAGTTCTAAAAAGGAATGGGGTTGGAGGAGGAGGAGGAAGACTGTGGGATGCTTGGTTGTTGAGCTTGGTTGTTTTCTCGCAGATGTTTCATGACCCAACTAGGTAGCATCAATCAGTGATTCTTTTGATCGATTACAGGCAGTCCTTGACTTATGAGTGTCCATTTAGTGATCATTCAGAGTTACCACGGCACACAAAAAAAAGTGACTTATGACCATTTTTTACGCGACTGTCGCCCCATCTCCACAGTCAGATAATCAAAACGAAGACGATTTGGCCACTGGCTCGTGTTTATGGCTGTCGCAGTGTCCTGGGTTCTCCTTCCAACGGAGCCAGTGAGGAAGCCCAATTCACTTAACGACCGTCTTGTACTCACTTAAAGAATGGTGGAAATTCACTTCGCTGCCGTGTCAAGCTGGCTTAAAATGGGTCAAAACTCAATCAGTGGCCACCTTGAGGGAATGTTAGCCTCTATTATGGTCGTAAGTCAAAGACTGCCTATATTCTTTGGATTTGGGAGGTTTTTTCTTTTCTTTTTTTTTGAGGAAATGGCGCATAACGGGGGATAAGAGAGAGGGATGGAGGAAGGAAAGAGGTCAGGCTACGCTGGCTTGCGAATTGCGGATCCAGAGAAGCACAGGATGCTGTGTGCGTGTGTGTGTGTGTGTGTGTGTGTGTGTGTGTGTGCGCGCGCTCACATTGTCCTCTTTGTTGAGGGGCAGAATTGGGACATTAATGCTTTCTCCATCTGGGAGAAAATGGCTCATGGCAGCTTCCTGTCCTCGTTTTTTTTTTCCCCTTTCCGTTGTTCTTCGCGCAGCAACCCAGACCAGAAGCCCCACCAAATAATCAAGTTTGGGACCAACATCGACCTCTCGGATGCCAAGCGGTGAGTATCGCGGGAGGAAGGGTGGGGGGGAAATCTGTGGGCGCTCTTCTCCCCCTCCCCTCCCCGCTCTTTCCTCCTTCCCCCCCCCCGATTCTTCCGTTTCCTGCCGTGTCTTTTGCACAGCAGCCACAGCTGCAGAGCACCTTTGGGGCAGTGGTGGGAGTTAGCCGGTTCACACCGGTTCAGGAGAACTGGCGGCTCACTTTCCGAGCAGTTTCGTGAGCTGGCTGTTGAATTATTTGAATCCCGCCACTGATTTGGGGCCTAGATCTGCTTGTTTGCGCTGCCGTCTGTGGGGTTCAGACCCGTCACTGCATGCAAAACGGTTTGTTTCCTAGAGCGGCCTCCCTGAACGGCTGCATCCCAGATCTTTGCCTGCCCCTGGTGGACACTCGTGGAGCTGGGGGCCGCCAGCCAGTTTCCCTCCAATGAAATCCTATGGGCAAGGCACTGTTTGTGGCTCTCTTGTTGCCCCCTGCTGGTGATGCATGAGAATTTCAGAAAGAGAGTGCTCTGAGTGTAGGCTGCCTCCTGGTGGCCAGAACTCATCACTGCAAGTTTAAAAGACTTAAAAGGGGAGAAATGGGTAACTATTTTATGACCTGTGACCTGTGGCACTTCAATTCCCAAAATTCCTGAACCAGCCATACCAGCTTCCCATAATTCCTGACTAGCAGGGGCAGTGATGTTCCCAGAATTCCTAGCCCCGTGTGCAGTAGCACACATAGACCTCGACTTACAACGAGTCATTTAGTGTGTCAACTCATAAAAATATTTCTATGGACTTTTTAGAGTTGCCAACAGAAAAGGAGCATTGTGGCAGCTTGCAAACTGAAAGTGCATTCCATAAACGTTTCCAGAGATAGTAACTAGGTGACCGAAGTTTCTTTGGACTGTCCAAAGTCATAACCCACCTGGAAAAAGGGACTTACAACCTGGATTTGAACTTATGATGGTCGCATGACCGCATGATGGTCTGGGCCCTTGGCAACACAGTGACACAGTGGCAGTTCTGGTTTTCGGCTAAACTAGGCAATAGCAGACAATGGGTTCACTTAACGACCGTCGCATTTGCTTAACAACTGTAGGGTTTGCCCATAGAATCACCACGCTGGCTGCAAACAGCGTCATAAAATCACAGGCAATTGCAGGTAATCAACTTTCAATAGTTTGTTTAGCGACAGTTCGGAGTTACGATGGCTTAGGACCATTTTTCTCACTTACGACCATTGCAACATCCCCTGTTGCTCCCGTGATTGAATATTTACGAATTCATATTTATGACAGTCGTAGCGTTCTCACAGGGAACCCCTTTCGCGACTTTCCAACAAGCAAAAGTCATTGGGGGAAGCCAGGTTCGTTTAACGACCATGTGATCACTAAACAGCTGCAGGGATTCACTTAACCACTGCAGCAAGGAAGGTGGCCAAATGGGGTAAGACTCACTGAACAAATGTCTTGCTGGGCTCAGTTGTTGTAAGTCGAGGATCTACCTGTGCCGCTGTTGGCCCAAGGCTCCCTTCACAGTCGTAACTTTGAGGACCAAACCTAGAGGGTTTCCAGGCCAAAGGGAGGTCAGACTAGTTGATCTCTGAGTTCGTGTGGGTAACCTGTTGGTTTCTTGGACAGATGGAAACCGCAGCTCCAGGAATTGCTGAAGCTGCCTGCCTTTATGCGCGTCACATCGACGGGGAACATGTTGAGCCACGTGGGCCACACCATTCTGGGCATGAACACAGTGCAACTGTACATGAAGGTCCCCGGCAGCCGAACCCCAGGTGAGAAACCCCCCCTGGTCTGAGCAGGAAATGGATTGGTCCGGCTCTCCCACTAGGACAGGGGTGTCAAACTCCAGGCCCGTGGGCCGGATCCGGACTGCAGGGTGATTAGATGCGGCCCACGGGATGCTTAGATGATGCGGCCAGCTTAGATCTGTCCCACGGGGCCACCCTTGACCAGCCCACAGTGTTTCTCCCAGAAAAAATGAAGCTCGCTCAGGCCACCACAGGCGCACACACACACACACACACACACACACACACCCCACGAATGACGTCAAACTGGCCAGCCCACTCCGGACCCCGAGGTCAAACGCAACCCTGATGCGGACCTCAATGAAATTGAGTTTGATGCCCTCTGCACTAGGGGAACAAACCCAAACATTGAGGTGGAACCTCCAGATCTCACCACCCTCTACCTTTGAACCCCAGCTGTGGAGGGAGGCAGAGAAAGGCTCTCACATCCTGCTTAGGGGCTCCCCTTATTGACCCCTCTAGGGACAGGTGGATGGACAGGAGGGGCGCCGGGTAGATCTGAGCTGGAAACTGGGCCTTTGTGGCTTAAGAACCAGAAGAAGGGTCTCTAAATTTGCCCACTTTTCAGACCCGTGCACTTCAACTCCCAGAATTCCTCACGGTTGGCTGAGGAATTCTGGGAATTGACCTCCGCAAGTCTTAAAAAGCAGCCAAGTTTGGAGACCCTTGCGTGAAAAACCTGGAACTTTCGGATTCCACGCAGTAGTGGTGTTGTACCAGTTTGGCCCGGTAGCTCCGACAATCATCCGTGAGTGAACCAGTTTGCTCTGACGATCAGCTGTTGGGCCCTTCCCTCCACCTCTATACTGGCCTTTATTTCCTGCTTTTCCACCTCAGCTGCTTTGCGCGACACGCCCGATCGATTCCGCGTCAGGGGCGCCACTAGGTCTTCCACCAAGGATCTCTGGTGCCTTGACTTGGTATGGAGTCCAGTTGACCCTGGGCTGAGCTTTTATCTTTCTCTCCCGTGGTTCCTCTGTAGGTCACCAGGAGAACAACAACTTCTGTTCCGTGAACATCAACATTGGGCCCGGGGACTGCGAATGGTTTGCTGTCCACGAACATTACTGGCAGAATATCAGTGCCTTCTGTGACAGGTAGGACTTCTTTGAGAAACGATCTCCTCCGACTTGGGGCAAGGGGGAAACTTGGCCGGAGAGAAGAAACAGGGTGGGAGATGGAACCTTCTGAGGAAGGAGCAGCAAGCGGAGAGGAACCATCTCTGTAGCATGCTCCACGGTTTTGACCAAGTGAGGGTCCAGAGGTTCTTGGGGTCTTCAGGACTCTTGGTTTCTCTGGCCAAACAGCCTCCACCTGGGTTTTCTTGTAGACACGGGGTAGATTATCTCACCGGCTCCTGGTGGCCCATCCTAGAAGACCTCTACCAGTCCAACATCCCTGTCTACCGCTTCATCCAGCGTCCTGGAGACCTGGTGTGGATCAATGCCGGGACCGTGCACTGGGTGCAGGCCACTGGGTGGTGCAACAATATTGCGTGGAACGTCGGTCCCCTGACAGGTAGGAGGAGAAATGGGCTGGAGAAGGAAGATGTGGTCCTACCCGTAGCAAGTTGACCTGCTTAGCTTTTGGGGATAGGAGCTTAGGCCTTTGAAGCTGACCGTGTCCCACCTGCCAAGCCAGAACAGAACCTGGTAGGTCTCGTGGGGGTTTTAGAAGGTCAAAGTGCTCCTCAGTGCTGGATCCATTTTAGTAGAACATCTTTGGCAGATGATCCTCCAGCCTTGCTTGGAGCTTGATGACCTTCACCGAAGGAGAACTCAACACATTGCGAGACAGAACTGATAGATTGTACATTTAGGACGTCCCTCCTGAGACAGCCTCCTCTCTTGCAGTTTCACATCGTTTCAGTCCAATGGAGGATGATCCCACCCTCCGAGCCAAAAGAGAGTAGAGGTCTGCCTGTCCTTGCTTGTGACAAACTTTTTAGAGCAGTGTATTTTAACATCGGCTACTTTAATTTAAATTTAACTTATCGGACACGTTCTTGAAAGCATGGTGCTTAAAACTGGACGTGATTCTGTTTTGACCCAGCTCCCAAACACGACAAACCCTCTGTAGTCCCTTTACTAGCTCCAACTTTGCCCCCAAATGTCCTGGTTACCTTCTGGGCTGGAGAAAAACTCTCCCGGGAACAGCCTTTGGCTGCAGAGAATCAAGTCCAAAACATGGTCAACAGAAACTGTAACTATAAGTCCAATCAAGGCAAGATGAGATAATTAGTCCGGCAGGGCGAGAGAAGGAATTGCAGACATGAAGGCCGAGAATAGGGAATAAAGGGAATAAGGAGGAGGATGCTGACCCTGACTTCCACGCCTCCGCCTCCTCTGATTCGACTGCCAGTCGGCAGGCCACAACAGACCCCTTACCTCTTGGGATGGACAAAATGAAGGGTGGACTTTCACCGTCCACTCACATCCAGAAGTTTGACCTGGCCCCAATTCCAGAGGTCTAGAATTTGCAGTGGATTATGGCACCTGGATTTGTTCCCTGCAGCTTACCAGTACCAGCTGGCGCTCGAACGCTATGAATGGAACGAGGTGAAGAATGTCAAGTCCATCGTGCCCATGATCCACGTCTCCTGGAACGTCGCGCGGACGGTCAAGATCAGCGACTCGGACTTGTACAAGATGATCAAGTGAGTTGGGTTGTTTTTTTTTTAAACTCTTCCGGGGTCCCACGTGAGCCAAACTGGCCTCCCCCATCCTAGTACGGGTAGTCCTCATCATGATGGAATCCCAGAATTTGTCGTTAAGCAAAGCAGCTAAGCGAAGCTTGCGACCTTTCTTGCCGCCATTGTTAAGGTAGTAACCTGTTTTGTTAAGCAAATCCGGCTTCCCCGTTGACTCTGGTGGTCGCCAAAGTGGATCATGTGACACACACACACACACACACACACACCCCTGCATGCTGCGACTGTTACAAATACGAAACCAGTTGCCAAGCGTCAGAGATGTGACCGTGGGAATGGCTACAGCGGTCGTAAGGGTGAAATGGTCCTAAGTCCCTTTTTTTTCCCCCAGTAACTTTGAACAGTTGCTAAACAAACTGTTGTAAGTCAAGGACTCCATGCATTGTGATGATTGTAAGTGCAAGGCCAGTCCTAAATCACCCTTTGTTCTTTTCCGTCTGAGCGCTGCTTTGTGGCAGCCATTTCTGACCGCCGCTCTACCGCCTTCGGAAAAGGGAGTTTAGCCACCTAGGGAAGAGAGGTGCGATATCTCTCAACCCTGCCAGATCCCCCGTGTCTTCACCACCTTCTATGAAGGTGGCTAGCCCTGAAGCCGCATGGCTCAGGGCACTCCAGCGGCGAGCGCAGGCAGAAACCATGCACAATCGCGGATTCCTGCCTGCCCCGAAGCGCTGCAAACCGGAAGTCCCTCCCTTTTTCAGTGTTGTTGCACCTTCAAATGAATGGTCGTAACTTGAGGTCGGCCTGTACGGGAGCCCACGGACATCCTGTCGGTGCCCACCTGTATCGTGTGTGTGTGTGTGTGTGTGTGTTTGTGCTGATCTCTCCTCCTCTCTTTAGGTACTGCCTCATGCAGTCCATCAAACACTGTCAGGTCCAGCGGGAAAGCCTGATCCGATCTGGCAAGAAGATTGCGTACCAAGGAAGGGTGAAGGACGAGCCGGCGTACTACTGCAACGAATGTGACGTAAGAGCCCGCCTGGGGGGGTTCGAGGGTATCTCCGCCGCTGTGGCAGCTGCAGAGTTGACGCGGTGCGGCATAAGCTTCCCGCTGTCTTCTCTTTTGACTTGGTCGAGGAGGCTTGGCTGTGGGGTCCCGTCAGTTCTGGGCGCCTCTCTTCCTCTCTCTTCCTCTCTCCTCAACTGCTTCCTTCCTGCAGCTGACCGGGGTGGGATTGGGTTGGTCCTTACCCGGACTAGAAACCAACCCATCTGCAGTCCAGTTGGGTCCAAGAATGAGCCTTGGTCTCCTCTTCCCTTTTCACACCCACCTACCTGGTCTTCCCGGATCCCAACTTAAAGAGGTCCCAGTTCCAGCAGATCCTTCAACGCTTGGTTGGTAGGATGTGGGGACCAGTTCTCCTGGATCTTTTCTCTCTGAAATGGACCCATAGATCCATTGTCGTCATCAACATCACCTCATATTTCCCCCCTCCCCAAAAGGGTCCCAGCCAAGGCTTCTGACCGCAGGGGTGGCATGGGCTTGGTGAGGTCTCTGTGTGTTTAAATTACTTGTATGCCTCCTGTCCCATCTCCAGTAAGGGATTGTTAATCCCCTTCTCCCCACCCACCTCCTGTCCTGACAGTGGTGGAGACGTGGAACCCCGTAGCAAGTTGAAGAGGTCAAAAACAGTGAGTATGACGCGCGTGGTTTTGTAAGAGGAGAAGATAAGGAAGGAAGGAAGGCGAAGGAAGAACATGGAAGAAGAACAAAAGAAATATGGTCAGGATCGTGGTGACCAAGGAAAGGAAGTTGGGTCAACACTGGTGTGGAACTGCAAGGATTAGAAAGTCTTTGAGGTGCGTGTGGAGACCGCCTCAACGCAGCTAAACGAGTAAGAGGAATCGGAGCAGCAACATTCATTAGAGAGCCTCAAAAATCGGAGCAACCACATTAGAAGGCTAGGAGGTCTACAGAATTGAGGAAGCTCCCTGGATGAACAGAAGGCTTGAGATGACAACGGAAGGATATCTCAGTTGACCAGGAATGACTCAACCCATAATACGGTAGCTTCCCCGCTGGTTGATCGGATCTCTCTTGGGAAGAAAAGTCAGACAATCTCTGTGGTGCATACACGAGTCCTGCACTTGAAGTGGCCAGAATTCGCGGGACCTCATCTCTTTCTTCTCATTCTTAATAAGGAGAAAATTATCCTTGAGAAGAAGAAATCTCCATTTTTGGCATCTGCTGAAACAGATGTGAAGAATGATGAGTTGTGGACTAACTCCCAAAATTCAAAGAGCCAAGATGGAGAACAGTGGCCCCTTTATGACTCACGGACTTCAACTCCCAGAATTCCCGAGCCAAGATGGAGAACAGTGGCCCCTTTATGACTCGCGGACTTCAACTCCCAGAATTCCCGGAGCCAACATGGGTAACAGTGGCTCCATTATGACTCGTGGACTTCAACTCCCAGAATTCCCGGAGCCAGGGAATTTTAAGGAAGGCTAGCTCAGAAGAACAGATTCATTTGAATGGGTATTGTCTCTAGCCAAACACCTCATCAATAACGTCGTTCACGTTCTCTCCGGTGGGGATCTGAACAGACAAAACATTCCTCGAAGCATCCATAGTGGTGTTCTCTAGAAGGTTCTTCAGTTTACGGTCCTCGAGTCACAACGTTTCCCGTGACTTTCCACTACTGGTGTGTTGGACTCCTGTCCTATCTGGCCAAGGAAGAGGACCGAGGATTGGATCCTGAGATGGTCTAAGAAGTTCTGATCTGCTGCCTCTCCTTCCAGGATGGCTTCGATCCTGTGGATGTGAACAGTTCTGACTTCCATTCCTCGGGAAAATGTGGTAGAGGAAGAGGTGGAACCACAGTTAATCAAGTTTTATCATTGTTACCTTGGATTCGGACTCGGTCCCCGGGAAAGAAACGGCATGTTGATTTCATGGACCATCGATGGCGAGACCTGGACAGAGAGACCGGGGCCATACCTGGGCTCTTAATGTCTCATGATGCTGGCTACCATATCCCCCAGCAAGATACGAGAACTGGAAACCCTGTTTAACTGGGATTCCACTCCTGGTGTCAACTCATAAAATATTTCTACGGTCTTTTTAGAGTTGCCAACGAGAGGAGTTTGAAAGAGCAGCATGACAGCTTGGAAACTGAAAGTGCATTCCATACATAGCTTTTCAAGGATAGTAACTAGGTGACTGAAGTTTCTGCCCCGCAAAATTCCAACGGGATAACATGATTGATGACTCTGGGCTATGGATGTGTCCCATTGGGGGATATGAATTACGATACACCCGGGGGGGGTGGGGGGTGGGGGGGGAAACCAGGGTCAAGGCTGACAATGAATTCTGTCATTCTGTCAGCTGTACCCAGGCAGTGCTGGACATGTTAACTCCCAATAAATCCTTTGGAAGTTTGGCTCGAGACTCGTGATTTAAATGGGAGGGTAACTGCCGGAATCCTGGCACCCTAGTTCGGAAGCACAACTTGGGTCGTCAGATGACCCATTTTGGAAGGCTCCGGTTCTTCAGAGTCCTTCCCTGTCGTGTTCAACATATCCCTGAAACCGTGGGGAGAGGTTATTTATCAAAATTATATATAAATATAATTGTATTTTGTACTGCCTATGGTAAGCAGTGGTGGGCTGCAACTGATAGAACAACCGGTTGTGTGAGTGTGCGCGGAATTCAAAGGCAATTACCTCCCAGCCTTACTCCCAAGTCGCCCCTTATGTCTCAGCTGCTCTCGCCTTCTAGCAGCTCTGCGCGCACGCGCCCTGGGAACAGGCTCCCCTTGTTCCTCTGCCTCACTGCTGCCAGACCCCAGAGGGTCTGGAATTAGCACACAACTCCCAGGTGGCCCTGGCCCCATCTCTGCATTGGATGCAGGACCCTCGTCTGAGTCCCTCCCCTCAGAGTCCCGGACTAGTCCCTGTTCTTCCCCACTGTTCGATTCCTCTGCCATCTGCACAGGCTGCCGGCAAACCACAACGCCCTGTGGTGTACCAGTGTTAAGAATAGGGGCTGAAGAGGTATGATTACCTAATCTGACCCTCTGTGAGTGGCCAGACAGGAAACCCATAATCCAAAGGCAGATTGAATTAGAAAGTCCAAGGTCCAGAAGTTTAGACACTAGTCTACATGGAAGAATTGTGTTAAACGCAGAACTAAAATCTACGAAAAGCCTCCTCACGTAGCGCCCCCTCTGTTCTAGATGAGTCAGAGCAGTGTGAAGAGTGATGGCAGTAGAGTCTAGTCCACTGCGCCGTGCGAATCCGCTGAGCTGAAAAAGATGGAAATATACCTGATGGTTAGAATTACCGGTTTGTTAAAACCGGTCCAAACCAGTGGCAGCTCCCCACTGATTGTTAAGCCACCTATCGACGATTAATAAAGGAGCGTGAAATGGGGGCTTGAATTCTGTCTCCGGTCCAAGGGGAGTCAAATCGGCTAATCTTTGGACTACCGCACCCATTGTCCTCAGCCAGACCACGCCCACTGAGAAAAGTGGAAGCATAATGCGGTGGGCAGGCAGGAGTCTCGGGGGTCTCATTTTCTGGTATCTCATGGGGGGAGTTGTTGGTGGCATGATTCCTTCTCCTTTCCGAGGGTAGTGCCCCTCCCTTTGCTATTTTTGAACTGCGTGTTGGGGGCAGGGTTAAAGTTTGGGGTTTTAACAAGGTCTCAACAGGGGTGGCTGGCGATGGTGGTGGACTTCCGGAGGGGGATATGGTGACGGAGCTGTTCATCGGCTTGATACAAACCCATTTTAGACAAATGGTTGTCTGGTCTCCTCTTCAAAACCTCCCCGACTTTTGGAGGAAAGCCATTGCACTGGATGTAATCAAGCCATAGACTCCAGAGCTGGAAGGGACCTTAGAGGTCGTCTAGTCCAACCCTCCTGCTCAAGTAGGAAGCCCTGTACCTTTTTCAGGCAAATGGCCATCCGGTTTCTGCTTTAAAAGCCTCCGGTGATGGAGCACCCGTAATTTCTTGTGGCAAGATGTTCCACTGCTTGTAATAGAATCGGAGGGTTGAAAGGCACCTTGGAGGCCTTCTAGTCCAGCCCCCTGGGGTCCATGGTAGGAGACCCTGTACCGTTTTAGATAAATGGTTCTCTGGCCTTAAAATCCCCCACTGATGGAGGAGGACCCACGTTGGTGGTTTAGGGGGTCGCCCACGGCGAGCAGAGCTAAGCTAGTGGCCTCCTGAATCCTGTCCGCTGATCTGCGGATTCCATTTTTTAAGAGATTCCACCCCGTGAGATTCCTTGCGGAGGTGGGGGGAAGGATTCTCGGCTGCTGGCCTCCCTATCTTGGCTTCTTACCTAGGCGGGGAAAGTGGGGGGGGTGTCCTACTTCGTAGGAGGGGAGCTGACCCCTCCCCATCTCTTTCCCCGCAGGTGGAGGTGTTCAACATCCTTTTCGTGACCAGCGAGAACGGCAGCAAGAACACGTACTTGGTTCACTGCGAGGCCTGTGCCCGGAAACGGAGCTCATCCCTCCACGGCATCGTGGTCCTCGAACAGTACAAAACCGAAGAATTGATCACCATCTACGACAGCTTCACCCTGGTGAGTGTCTTAAGTCTGTCTGTCTGTCTATCTATGGAGAGTCTCAGCCATCCAAAGGTGCCTTTTTTTTTTTTTGTTCAAGAGGACTTTTCAACCGGACTTTCTGGGGTTTTGTTTTTGTTTTTTTCCTTTGAGGAGGTTTTCGCTTCTCATCCAAGAAGCTTCTTCAGCTCTGCTGTGTGTGCGTGGATCCTTTTGCGGCCCATATCATCGCAGGAGGATCCTTTCACAGGGGAAGGTTTTCCTCCCCCAGTTCTGTATTTCTTAAAATTAATTTCCTCCCTTCCCTCTGCACAGAGGTCCCTGCACTTCCGATGGGGCAGAGCTGTTCGTCCCAACCTATCCGTATAGGTGGTCCTCGACTTTTCGCTTAGCGATGGTTCGCAGTTGCAACAGGACTGAAAGAAAGGGGCTTTAGGTTCATGTTTTTTTCCACACAGCATTCCCCCAGGGCCACAAGTGATCAAAATTGAGATGCTTGGCAACTTGACTCGTATTTATGACGGTCGCAGTGTCCAAGGGGGTGGGTGTGTTGCATGCTTCCCTTTCAGGAAGCGAGTCGTTTAACAACCAGGTGACCAACTTAACAACTGCAGTGATTCCCTTGACCAGTGTGGCAGGCGAAAGCGTAAAACGGGGCAAAAAGCACAGAGCAAACCTGTAGAAGCCAGGAGACTCTGAGTTCAAGTCCTACCTTATAATAAACCAAGACCATTTACAATAGGACCATTTATGACTGTTGCCGCATCCCCATGGCCACGAGATCAAAATTCGGACGCTCAGCAGCTGAGTCATATTTGTGACGGTCACGCGATCCCCTTTAGTGACCGTTGAACAAGCCAAAGTCCACGGCGGAGCCAGCTTCCCTTAAGAACTGTGCGACTCAACTTCACAACTGCGGTGCGCAGATCATGACACACGGGGCAAATGTCTCGCTTAGCAACGGAAATTTGGGCCTCTGTTGGTCGTAAGTCAAGGACTGCCTGTAACTTGTTGGGGCGGGGTGGGGAAACAAAATGGCTGTCCGGCTAAAATCCTCCCCGCTTACAATGTTGGAAGCCAAATCGATTTGAGAGCAGGGGCGTCCCAACTCGAGGCCCACAGGCCGAATCTGGCTCGCAGGGTGCTGAAGTCCGGCCCATGGGGCTGCGGTGCCTCTGCTAGACAAAATGGGCTGTGGGGGGGGGGACCCGCATGTGGGGCCCCATAGCCAGTTTTCTGCCTCCGTGGCCGCTGCAGCACTCCGTCGTCTAAAAACGGGCCACACGGGGGCTTCTGCATGGCCCGTTTTGGCCAGCAGAGTGCTGCTGGAGGCTGGGGAGGTTGAAAATGGTCCACAGCAGCGCCTCATGGGGCCTCCATATGGCCGATTTTTGGCCAGCAGAGTGCTGTATTACTAATACTGGTACTCATACAGCTTCTAATACCACTAATCCCCCTCTGTAAAGCCTTAGTAAGGCCACACCTAGAGTCCTGCATCCAGTTTTGGTCACCACACTATAATAAAGAGGTTGAGACTCTAGAAAAAGTGCAGAGAAGAGCAACCAGGATGATGAGGGGACTGGAGGATAAAACATACGACGGACGGTTGCAGGAACTGGGCCTGGCTGGTCTAGTAAAGAGAAGGACCAGGGGAGACAGGAGAGCAGCCTTCCAATATTTGAAGGAGGGGCTGCCCCAGAGAGGAGGAGGGGGTCAAGCTATTTCCCAAATCCCCCAAAGGCCAGACAAGGAACAAAGGATGGAAACTGAGCAAGGAGTGATTCAACCTGGAAATAAGGAGGAATTTTCTGACAGGGAGAACAATCAACCGATGGAACAGAATTTGCCCTCAGAAGTTGTGGGAGCTTCACTCCTGGAGGCTTCCAAGAAGAGACAGGACTGCCCTCTGTCAAAAATGGTATAGGGTCTTCTACTTGGACAGGGGGGGTTGGACTAGATGACCTACAAGGTCCCTTCCAACTCTAGTTATCTGTTATCTGTAGGAGGTATCCGTCCCGTCTCCCCCCCCACCCCCAGCCGGCCCACAGAGGAGAGCTACAATGCTGATCCAGCCCTCGAAGAAAATCCAGTTTGACACCCCGGTTTAGAAAGGGGGGAAAAAAACGGGGGTCCCCGATTTAACACATGATCTCTTTTTCTTTCTCTTCCTTTTTCCCGGCAGGCCGCAGCGCCGAGTTCAAGATGAGCCATATCACGCCCAGGCGCCGATGTCTGGGCTCGTTTTTTCTGCGCTCGTTTCTCCCACTCCCACTGTGAGTGTTTTGGGGCAGAAGGTGCTGTAGCCCCCTTCTCTGCCTCCCCCCCCTCTTAAAAGAGAGCCTCGGTCTTCTATTTTTTTTCTCCTCCGTTGCTTTCTCGCCACCCCGTCCTGAGCCGTAGTGACACGGAACCGGCCAGAAGCTTCGTTTCCGCCTCTCCTCCCCACGACCCCCAGCCCCAGACGGGCGCTTTTTATTTTTAATTTATTCTTCTTCTTCTTCAAAAAAAAACAACAACAAAAAACAACGGACCTCCTTATATATATATATATTATTTTTTGTTTTTTTTTTTCATTTTCCTGGGTGGTGCTGAATTTTTTTTTTTTTTTTGAAATAATAATAATAATAATAATAATAAAGGGGTGAAGAACAGTTTTGATTCTGAAAAGATGAGGAGGACGACTCCGTTCCTAGCGGGGCGGGGATTGGGAACTCTGCGAGAGATCTCGGTGTGCATCGGACTTCCGCGTGCCTTCCCCGCTAAACACACACACAACCCCGGGCCCCTTCCCCGCCACCCCCGGGACGAGCACCGTGGGCTTGGAGGAACGGAAGAAGAAAACGGGAGAGTTCACACAAGCATTATTATAATCCCTACTTGCAAACTGATTTTTTTGGGGGTGGGGTGGGAAAAAAGAAAGCCGTTGACTTTCGTGGATGGAGCTGCCCCGCGAGGGCAGTTTGTTTGTTTTTTTGTTTTTTATTTGTTTTTCGTCATTTACAAATTTTCATTTTTTTTTTTTTCTTTGGTTGGAAATTTTTGGGAAAAAAAAAGAAAAAAGTTTGGAGAAAAAAAAACCGCAAGCAAGCAAGCAAGCAAGCAAAAAAAAAAAAAATTTTAATACGGGTTTCTTAACACAGAACTTTTTATGGGTTCAGTTCTCTTTGGGTGAACTTCTGGTTTGTCGGGGGCGGGTGGGGTCGGAGCAAGAGTGTACATTGATTTATATATATATTGGCTGGGCGGGGCCAGGAACGATGGGCGTGTGTGTTTTTTAATTATTCGGATGGACATTTGATTTCTTACATCCTTTTATATATTATATATATATAAATATAAGGAGAAAAAAAATCTGGTTTGTATTAGAAACTGCTTTTAAAGATGAAAACACAAAACGGACAAAAATATATCTATATATATATATATAGACACAAGTGCAAGTCAAAAGACCGTTGGTGCGAGGCACAGAGGGAATTTCAGCCGTGCCGATGCCTTTGGATAATGAAAAATATAACAGCCCTGTGCAAGAATAGGGTATGGTGCTTGTACCCCAAATCAAAGACACACGGGTAGGTTGGGGAGAAGATTTTGGCAAAATTTTGGCCGGGGTGGGAGCTATTCTCAACACTTCTCCTAGCTTTTGTTATCCATTGTTAGGTGTAACTTAACACAAACCTTCCTTCCTTCCTTCCTTAAATCCAATGTCCTTAACTCTTCTCCCGTAATTATTTCACCTTTCGCCCAATGTGATTCTATTTAATTTTTTGTTTTTTCCTTATTTGATTTCAACCGGCATGTTTTCTTTGAATATTTTTATTTTTTAAGAAAAGCTAGACAGTTCTCACTCCCAGTTCATTTTTTTTTTAAAAAAAAGAAAGAAAAGAAAAAGCTAAGAATGTCTGAGATTTGGGGTAATTTTTCTCTCTCTCTCTCTCTCTCTTTCTCTCTCTCTCTCTCGTTTTTATTGTTTATTTTTTACCTCCGCGTGTCAGAATTGTTTTACAATTTATAAATGTTCTCTCTCCTTTTTTTATTTATATGTCTTTTTTGTTCGTTCGATAATGATTTCTCTATTTATTGGTCCTTTATGGGAGGGTGGGGGGGGTTGATCCTTTTTTTTTTAAAAGAAAAATCTTTTTAAAAGGTATCTGTTTTGGTGTGTGTGGTTTTTTTTTAAAGACACCTCTATCTATCTATCTCTCTCTCTCTCTCTCTCCCTCCCTCTCTCAGTCTTTTGAGTTTCTCTCTGGAATTGTTAACGGCGTTTCTAAATGTTTTATTTTTGTCTACCGTTTCCTGGACGTATTTGCTCAGTTTTCTCACGGGGGTCTTTAGGTGGGGTGGGCGTGGGGGACACGTGGGGTGGGCGTGGGGCGGGCAGGAGGGTGAGAAAAATAAAAGATTGATTCTCATTCGTTGATTTCCTCCTGAACAGAATCTCTCATCCTATCCTACACTGTAAAAAAAAAAAAATGAAATGAAATCTTTCTTCCGAAACCTGCACTTTTTGAAAAAACTCAGATTCTCTTTCCCGGAACAACACTGTAATTAAAACAGATGAAGATCTTTTTTTGGGAAAACACACACAGACACACACACACACACACACACACAAATGGATTCTTTAATGTACTGTAGGCGACGAGGAGAAAGCAAATCTTATTTTGTAAATGTAAAAAAAAAAAATTAAATTAACTCACAGAGATTAAAATAAAGCAACTTGGATTTTTTTTTTTTCCTCTTATCTTCCTCCTCCTCTTTCTCCCTCTTCCTTTCTCCTTCCTTCTCTTCCTCCTCCCGCTCCTCTGTTGGCGGTTTGATCTACGAGTTATAAAAAGGGTGGGGGCTTTTGTTGGGAGGGGTCTTCACCGGGGGTTGGGGGGGAGGGAGAGAAATTGAGTCCTTTTCAACCTGGAAAATATTTATTTCCAGTGCAGTGAGGATGTGTCTCTGCTTCGGGGGTCCCACACCGGGCTGGGTGGGTTGGAGGTAGGACCCACTCCTATTCCCCCAATTAACCCCAAAATTTAAGGGGCATCTCCGGGTGGGTTCTAATCCCTCCCCCCCAAGATTTAAAAGTGGATTGTCTTCTCTTCCCCCCCCCTTCCAGCAACATCTGGCCATAATGCCCAAGAGGTGGGGTGTCTGTGCCATTTCGGACAGTGGGGAGGCCGAGGTGAGGAGGGTGGGTGGCCGAGGGAGGCATCTCTGGAATTCAGAGGGGGAGGGGGAGGGAGACCCCCTGCTGGGAGGGGCTCTCTGCCTCTTAAGGAGCATCCTGGGGAAGGGTCGGCTTTTGCAGCTGGAAGTTGAGCGGGAAGCTGGCTAGCGCTGGTGCTTCGTGCCTTCCTCTCTCTCTCTCTCTCTCTCTCTCTCTCTGTGTGTGTGTGTGTGTGTCTGCCTGCATTCCTAGCTTATCCTGGTTGCGGGGGGGGGGGGAGGGAGAAGGAGGGGCGCCTATAAACCCATCTCCGGCCAAGCCCGGCCAGAGAGAGAGAGAGAAAGCACGAAGAAGTCACACTGCCAGGATGAGCTTAGACTTGAGTTCCCCTAAGCCTGGGCCGGGGTCCCTGGAGTGCGAGGGGGTCCCTGGGACCTCGCCCCTGACCCCCCCTCCTTATGCCGGGGAGGGGGCTCTGGAACTCCGAGGTTCCCTGGACTGCTGGGCTTGCGCCGTGCTGGTCACTCTGCAAAACTTGCTAGTCGGTGCGCTCAACCTTCTCCTAGCCGGGTTCGTCTTTGGGTTGATTCTGCTGCCGGCTGGGGTCCTTTTGGGCTTTGGATTCCTCTGCCATTCCAAGGTCAGTGGTCTTGGGTTGGGGGGCCGCGGTGGGGGGGTCAAAACTGGGAGGGAGGCGGCATAATGTGGATCAGAAAGGCACCGGGTTTAGGAAGGGGGCGAGGTAACCCCCATTGCAGCTCCAGTTGGGAAAGGCTGCGCTTTCTAACTATTCAGGGTGGAGTGGGGGGCTTTAGATTGGGGGAAGGACTTGGAGTGGGGGGGGGGGTCCCGGGCTTGAAAGCCTCTCCTCCCGTCCCAAAGGTTGGGGGGGGGGGAAGAGGCTGCAAAAGTTCGCCTGGGCACGTGGGCGCGGCGGTACCTTTGCTCCAGGTCTGAGTGGACATTCCGACGTTACAAAAAAAGGATGGACATTCCGACGTTACAAAAAAGACTCGAAAAATGGCAAGAAGAGCAACTAAGATGAGTGGAATAAAAGAACAGAATAGAAATTGGAATAGAATAGGAATAGAATGAATAATAACATAGAATTAGAATAGAATAGAATAACAGAGCAGAATAGAATGAATAATAAAATATAGAATTAGATTGGAATAGAATAATAGAATAGAATAGGCAATAGAATAGAATAAAAAACAGGAATACAATAGAATAAAAAACAGGAATAGAATAGAGTAAAGTAGAGTAGAATAGAATAGAACAGAATAAAATAGCTTTATTGGCCAAGTGTGATTGGACACACAAGGAATTTGTCTCTGGTGCATAACCTCTCAGTGTACATAAAAGCTGTAAGTGGTCAGCCATGATCATAATCATCATAAATACATTCATCAGGAATTAAGAGATGCAACACTTAGTGATAGTCATAGGATACTAAATAAGCAAACAAAATCATACCAGGAAACTAACGAAAACAACATAAATCGTAAAGATACAAGCAACAAAAGTAGAAAGGGAGATAGGAAATAGGAAGGATGAGAATAACAAAAGTAATATAGCCTTACTAAACAGTTTGACAGTGTTGTGCGAGTTAGTTGTTTAGCAGAGTGATGACATGTGGGAAAAACTGTCCTCATATCTATTTGTTCTGGTGTGCAATGCGTCGTTTTGAGAGTAGAAGCTGAAACAATTCAGTGATCATCAAGAGGAAACTGGGAACACTTTTTTCCTGGCTCATCCACTGTGGAATTTTTCCACCTTGGAATTAAATCCAAGGGTCGTAAAAAGCCACTTCCAAATTCCTCCTGATTTGGGACTAAGGGGAGATTAATCAGACAAGATTAGCCAGACAAGGAACAACGGATGGAAACCCAACAAGGAGAGATTCAACCTGGAAATAAAGAGAAACTTTCTGACAGGGAGAACCATCAACCGATGGAACAGAAGTTGCCCTCGGAAGTTGTGGGAGCGTCATCCCTGGAGGCTTTCATATACAATCTTCTCAGCACTTGGGACATTGACATTTCCATTTCGGTCAACGTACATGTTTACATTAATTTAATCTAACCAATTATACCACTTTTCCAGACCGTATAGTATTCCATATCTTCTCTATCTTGCAGTTCCAATGTGAGTTTAACCATCTCTGCGCAATCCATCGCTTTATTATCACACTTTTGGAGGGAGGGTATTATCTAATTTCCAATTTTGTGCGCAGGCAATTCTCGCCACCGTCCATATGTGTATTATGATATATTTGGTTCCTTTGTCTAATACTCCTCTAAATTATCCCTAATAACATTTCCGTTTTAAATT